TAAAAAGAAAACCGTAAGGGTGAGACCTAAATGATAAAATGCCGCTTGACGTCACACAATAGACCTATTGCTATATTACCCAAGCATCAAGGAGAATGCAGGGATCGGTGTTCCACGCCGAATATAGAACCAATCATTTAAAAAAAATATACAGAGCTTGACATTGTTAACAGAAACAAGTGATTGGCGTATTTCCCAGCTTTTCTCTTCCATCATCTGAAAGGCTATCATTTAAAACTATCAGTATGGCGATGTGAGCTGTACTGGGCACCAGCCTAGGCGGAACAATATTGCTTAACAGTCTGCGATGTCGTGCGCGCTGTCCGTGCTGCTTAGTGCACATTCTATCTCTAACTATAAACTTGGCTCGGCATGAAGAAAGCAGGTGTATTCGATAATATAGACTATATAATATAGTCAAGAAGCTCTGCCTTTACAAAGTTTCTATTTCGTTTGGGTAGTTTTATAAAACTACCTGTCTGATCGCAATAAAAAAAAAAAGTCTTGCTTTCATGCCGTTATTTTGCTCTCTTTAAATAACGCAACAAGATGTATCACCATCTAAAAATAAGTAATTATCATAAACAAACTTTTTCGAGCGAGGATTCAAGATCCACTGACTTCTGAAATAATAGTTGGTAGAGTTGAGATGATTGAGAAAGCAATAATTGAGGATATTGTAGCGACCGTGAGTACAACGACTACAACTACATCATCAACTAGAACATCAACAACGGACGTCATTTCCAGTGGTGAGAAGAGGCCATGACAGCTATCGCTGTAAAAAAAAGCAGACTCCTTTGCCGCAACGGGTTATTTGCGTGTGTTTGGTTATCTTTTGCCGCGAGCTGGTGCCAGGGCTCTGCTCGGCGCTGCTAAATTACCCAAGCACCAAGGAGTATGCAGCGAGGGTAGTTCCGCGCGCTGCACGTGCTGGCGTCTGCAATATACTTCGTTTCACCTTATGTTGTACCGCAGCGAAGGCTAGAAGCGCGAGCTCATAGCGTTGGCAGCTGCCCTTAATGCGCGAGAGCTTGTGCCACCGAGATGTACCCTAGAGCAAGGAGCTCGCGTTTGCAGCCTTTCCTGCGATGAAATCGACTATAGCAACTGTTCTAAACCAAAAGTCTAAAACAAATTGCATCTTGAAGGGCCGCTTGTCAACATCTTATTTTGGTTATTTACTTCGAATCTTTTAAAGAGGGAAGGCGAGCGCGTGCGGCGCGTAGACTTAGATTTCCAGTATTCTTTTTGATGATCCGTTAATTTAGCACTATGTCTCTCGTTCTGTTTTCCTCACGCTCTGTGTAGTGCATCTTAAACTTCAACAGGCTCTGAGAAAGTTGCATTTCTACTGCAACCGTAGAAGATGGCACCCACAAGTAAGATGTCCACGGAGCGCTCACGCACTTACCTTGCACGACACAGGGCAGCTTCGTGTCATCCAGTACACAGTTTGTCATGTTTACACAGTTTCTCCACACTAACGCATCGAATTATCTGTTTCTACCGTTGCCAAGCTAGTACGACAAAGAGGCGACTTATATATATATATATATATATATATATATATATATATATATATATATATATATATATATATATATATGGGTGATTTCATCTCAAATCGGGCAGGCTAAAAGGGTCTAATTTTTTATTTTCACGAAAAAAATATATGTTTTGGGGGTATTTGTCAAATGAAGGAGGGCGCAAACCGCATGTTCTCCCGATTTTTTGTTCTCGAGTTACGAGCCGTAGAAGCCGCAGTGGCAGAAACTAGTGTTTTTGCCTGCCGTCGCAGGTCGCGTGTTTGACACCCTCTGCTGACGCTATTGTTTTCTCTACACCCTTTTAACATTTCCCCCTCATTTAATAGATGTTATAAAAATACCTTGATGTATTCAAATATTTTTAGGAATTTGATTGTTTTCTAAAACACATGTCAAACTCGTCACTCCGGTCGCTTTTCGGTCAAATTTGACAGGTCATTACTTTGTCTGTACTTAAGGTAAATTTTCTTTCTTTGGCTCTACAGAAAGCCCAAAGCAAGCCCATTATAGATATAATAATATCATTATGATCTGTCGACTAGCCGCTCCGCTACCTTCACGTAAACGTTGTAAGAACGTTGTAAGAACGTTGTTTCACGTAATAAAATCAGTTGTTAGTAGCGCACTGTGCTGTCTGTTTCTCGCCTCTTTGTCCCTGTTTTTTGAGCGCTAAAATGTATTCCAAATTCCAAAACCAACTAGCCCAACAATCGACTCTAAAGAAATAACAAATGTTGAAAGTTTGAGGTCGATTTTCTAAAAACCCCATTTTTGTAAATTTTTATTTTTTAAACTCTTTTAGACATATTAATCTACTACAAGAAAAAACAGTCTAGAAATGTAATATTTTGGTTGTATGTCCTCTGTTTGAACCGCAATCGCGTGAAATGTGTGAACATTTGTTATTTTTCACAATGTTTACGTGAAGGTAGCGGAGCGGCTACTCGGCAGATAATAATGCTATTATTATATCTATACTGGGCTTGCTTTGGGCTTTCTGTAGAGCCAAAGAAAGAAAATTTATCTTAAGTACAGACAAAGTAATGACCTGTCAAAGTTGACCAAAAATCGACCTGAGTGGCGAGTTTGACATTTTGTTTAGAAAACAATCAAACTATTAGAGATATTTGAGTACGTGAAGGTATTTTTATAGTACCTATTAAACGAGGAGGAAAAGTTAAAATGGTGTAAAAAAACACTAGCGCCAGCAGATTCTGTCAAACACGCGACCTGCGACGGCAGGCAAAAACACTAGTTTCTGCCACTGCGGCTTCTACGCTTCGTAACTCGAGAACAAAAAATCTGAGGAACATGCGGTTTGCGCTTTCATTCATTTGAGAAATGCCCCTAAAACATATATTTTTTTCGTGAAAATTAAAAACTGGACCCTTTCAGCCTGCCCGATATGGGAGGTTTCATCTCAAATCGGGCAGACTACAAAAGTCTGATTTTTAATTTTCACGAAAAAAAATATATGTTTTGGGGTCATTTATCAAATGAAGGAGGGCGCAAACCGCATGTTACCTTGATTTTTTGTTCGTCAGTTACGAAGCGCAGAAGCCGCAGTGGCAGAAACTAGTGTTTTTGCCTGCCGTCGGAGGTCGCGTGTTTGACACCCTCTGCTGGCGCTATTGTTTTTTCTACACCCTTTTAACTTTTCACCCTCATTTAATAGGTATTATAAAGATACCTTGATGTATTCAAATTGTTTTAGGAATTTGATTGTTTTCTAAAAAGCATGTCAAACTCGTCACTCCGGTCGCTTTTCGGTCAAATTTGACAGGTCATTACTTTGTCTGACATTAAGGTAAATTTTCCTTCTTGGGCTCTACAGAAAGCCCAAAGCAAGCCCATTATAGATATAATAATATCATTATTATCTGCGAAGTAGCCAGTCCGCTACCTTCACGTAAACGTTGTGAAAAATAACAAATGTTCACACATTTCACGCGATTGCGGCTCAAACAGAGGACATACAACCAAAATATTACAATTCTAGACTGTTTTTTCTTGTAGTCGACTAATATGTCTAAAAGAATTTAACAAATAAAAATTTACAAAAATGGGGTTTTTGAGAAAATCGACCTCAAACGTTCATCATTTGTTATTTCTTACAACGTTTACGTGAAGGTAGCGGAGCGGCTAGTCGACAGATCATAATGATATCATTATATCTATAATGGGCTTGCTTTGGGCTTTCTGTAGAGTCAAAGAAAGAAAATTTACCTTAAGTACAGACAAAGTAATGACCTGTCAAATTTGACCGAAAGCGACCGGAGTGACGAGTTTGACATGTGTTTTAGAAAACAATCAAATTCCTAAAAATATTTGAATACATCAAGGTATCTTTATAGTACCTATTAAATGAGGGGGAAAAGTTAAAAGGGTGTAGAGGAAACAATAGCGTCAGCAGACGGTGTCAAACACGCGACCTGCGACGGCAGGCAAAAACACTAGTTTCTGCCACTGCGGCTTCTACGGCTCGTAACTCGAGAACAAAAAATCGGGAGAACATGCGGTTTGCGCCCTCCTTCATTAGACAAATACCCCCAAAACATATATTTTTTTCGTGAAAATAAAAAATGAGACCCTCTTAGCCTGCCCGATTTGAGATGAAATCACCCATATATATATATATATATATATATATATATATATATATATATATATATATATATATATATATATATATATATATATATATATATATTCGTATTGCGTCTTTTGTACGCTGTATCTATTTTTCTAAAGGTCTCAAGATTGACTAGGACTCATCGGAAGCACACGGCTAAAATTCCGCTTCAATGTCCGTCTCTTCCGCAAATCCTAAAGGAAGACGTGGGGGTCAGGTAACACCAGGAAGGTTCAAAATCGGCTGCCACTCGCATCCAAGAAAAATGAAAAGATAGGGACCCAAATAAGTTCAGGATCGGCGGTTTGGTGGCTGCCATTTGCGAACGATTAAAGGCAGATGCTATCAGGAAAACCCGTAATACGTGAGCGAGAAGACAAGCACCACTTGTCTGGAGGGAAAGAAGATCAACGTCCCGACCAATAGGAGACGGAGCTTCACACTTTCAATCCGAGCTGTCCAGCCGTGGCACGGTGGTCCCTGACCTGGCGTCTGGAGGTCACTGAGGTGACGGCTAGTGAGGCGCGGCGGCAGGCGTACCCTCACGTGCGCCACTATCTCGAAACATACAAGGTGCGAGAGTCAATACGGCCGTCGAGATTGACGCGAGGTGTGTCCGGCGCGTTGCCCCCGCTCATTGTGGCGGCGCGGATAGCCCCATTGGCGGGTCCTGCTGGCCGGTGCAGCGAGCAGATGGCCACCGGCTACGAAGCGGCAAGCGGGGGCAGCGGTGCTCTGGGGCCGGCTGCAGAACGAGCGAGTGCTGCCTCCTGGCTTCCTTCCCTCGCCCGGCGCACGCTGCCTCCGCGTCGCGCCTTTCTCGCTCCTTCTTGCAGAAGACCGCGCCGCGGCACGCTCGAGAAAACAGTGTCTCCGAGCTCCGCGACGGAGAGAATTGCTCTCGCACCCGCTGTCTTGACACCCGCCGGCGCTCTTGGGATGCAGTTACGGATGTAGAGAGCGCTTCATCGGTTGCACCATGGCCCTCTTCTGGATCTGGCTCTGCGGTGAGTTGGCCCTCCACGCCCCGCTGCGAAGCTCCCGATTCCCCAGAAAACTTGACTGCTTCCGATCGTCACAACTCGCCACTGTAGTGACACGCGGTGCGAGTCGTCGCAGTTTGGAACTAGCAACCTAGATCCAGGCTGCGCAATTTCGGGGGCCTCCCGCTGGGCCGACTTCTCGCGTTTGCTGGGCGCCGCTCGCTCCGGGAGCCTCCGCGTCTCGAGCGACTGACCGCGAGGCAAACTGGGCTTTTGGCGCTCAACTGCTCTCCGGAGATATTGACACAACGCTCACTCGACCTGTTTTTCTGTGCGCAACCGTGTCCTTGATGCGCCGCGAATTACTCTCATCTAGAATGGGGTTGTAGCGGCGTGATTGCGGCAAGTGGTACCCTGGTTAGGACAAACCGAATCGAAACTTCATTGGACCGATTGGCACGAAGATTAATATAATTACTTCGATTCAGTTACTTCTTTAAGTAATTTTCTAACAAGAATTAGAACTTTATTCGGGAGTATTTCAGCTAGCAGTTTAATAGTTTTCTGAAGCGATTTGACTACGACTAATAATGTCAGCTCCGTTAAGGTCAGTTTCGTTGTTTTCAAGTTTCGCGGTATGAGTTTTCAAATTTCGCGCCCTGAAAACTGACGTATCACATGGCGCATAAAAGCAATACTCTCGCATAGGCAAAAAAAAAAAAAAAAAAGAAATCAACGGCAGCAGTTTTTATATTTAGAATTTAATACGGAGTAAAATTAAAATTTTTACCTGGCAGGCAGCGTAGGCGTAAGTAATGTAAGAAAACTATTATGGGCTTTCTCTAGAGAAATCTCGCACTTAATTTATGGAGCCCGTAATGCAGGTACCATAGTGTTCATTTCGAAGACCTGTAAATTAACAGCAGCCAACACTATTCCACACTGAGACTTGGAAAGAGAATCGCCAAGGTGGAAAGCTGTTTAGACGGAACCTGAGCTGCCTTCGGGTCACAGGTGTCCAGTGTTCTTGTATATCAAGTGAACTTCAAACGTTATTCGGATAACAGAATTTGAGGTTCAATAAAATAATGTTGTTACGAGGTATAACATGCTTTTACCTCTAGCGGTTGTAACTGAATTCCACTCGTTGTCTTGAACATGTAGTACAGGTTTATGTTGCTGTCATTACAAGTGATACTACCCATTACGTGTACCAAGAATACTTTCGAAAAAGACGGTCAACTAATTGTGTGTTTATCTCGAGCAATACCTAAAGGTATAACGGCGTTGGTGCGTTTGTTTGCTCTCGCATTATTTATGCGCAGCACGTTTAATCCAAACGAGTATCTTTTTCGTAATTTAGAACGAAATCATCGATCATATCGAATCGTGTCTCTGGCCAAAAAACCCGGGCGTCGAGAAGCGTACTCCATGCGGCAGGCGGCGACCTTTCGTTGCCACCGCGATTCTAACCGACCGACTAAGAAGACGCCACGTGGCGGATGGAAGAGGTTGTCCCCTCTCGGAAGTGTTCTTTGTCCCTCACTCGAGACAAGCCCGCAAGTATCCCGGACGTCTGATGTTCAGGCGGGAGCTATACACAGAAAACAATTGCTAGTAAGCAACCTCGCACTAACTCGAGCAACGAGCGAACAACCATTCATCCCAAGACGCCCCCCCCCCCCCCCCCCAACGTCCACCTACACTCTAAAAAAAGCCTGTGAGTCTGCTTTCCCGCACAACACTGGAACAGCCAATCACCGCAACTTACGGAGGCAGCTCAGCGAATGACAATGCCGAAACATACGTTTAGACCAAAAAACGCAGTCTGAGTTGTGACATTAAGTAATGCAAGCGTGACGTTTTGCATTGCTTAATGTCACAACTCAGACTGCGTGTTTTCGTCTAAACGTATGTTTCGGCATTGTCATTCGCTGAGCTGCCTCCGTAAGTTGCGGTGATTGGCTCTCCAAGTGTTGTGCGTGAAAGTAGATGCACAAAGTTTTTTTAGAGTGTACACCAAAGTTCCGAACTACTGATTAGCGCTACGCGGCCAATCAGACTGTTCTATATTAGCCGACACTGAAGAACTCCAATCGGAAAGCGAGAAGCCTGAAGATGATACACCCTGCGTTTCTGAAGCTGTCAGTGGCTGTTGCTCGTGAACCACGTGAACGACGAGGTCTACCCCTCTTTATCTTGTTATCATAGTGAAAAAGAAAGAAAAAAACAGACCAGGAGGAAAGTATATTGTATTCTCTCCGTTTTCAAAGAGTCTTGATTCTCGAGACAGAATCGAAGTGGCCTGGCGAATGTGCTTAGGATGGTACGAGAGAAGAGAACAAAATTAAATCTCTCGCAATTACCCAAGATGTTACATACACTCTCAATCAGATTCTGGTTATTTCGCCTCTTGCAGGTCTTGTAAGTAAGCTAAACGTTTCTCCGGCTATAAACGGCCTGCTTAATGGCCACCTATAACCGGGAGAAATTTTAGCGTGCCCTGCCTACGCTATGTAGCCTAAACCCCCAGCGCTGTTCTAGCATCCCAATTGAGCGGAGGGTGATGAAGGAAGTGCAAATTGCAACAGGCGGCAGAGACGCCACAGAAAAGCTAAGACCGCATAATGAAAAACGCAAAATGAGGTATCTTGACATGCTTTTAATTTTTTTTTCTTTTTTTGTTAGCCACATATTAAAAAAAAGCTCCTCACAAATTTTTTTTTCTTGATGTCCACATTATTAAGTATAAACATGGTATGCATGCATATACAACGGAAAATAACCAAAGGTGAAAAACACTTTTAAACTTCCTTGTCGAGTTCCCCCAGTCGGCATTTAGGCTGTTCTCCATTTCCTGGTCGTTACGTTCTTAACGGGTGGTGCTCACTCCAGGAATGTCATGCGTCGGGGCCACGGGCGAAGGAACATCAATTCTAACCACCAGTAAGGCACTGCATAGGTTAACTTAGTAGATTAGAATTGCGTTGCTTCATTTATTACGTTAACGAAACTAGATATGTTAATGATAACCTCTGACGTTCTATCGCGAAATTCTACTGTGAATCTAGCCTCTCCCTGATAGTACTTCTTTTCTATTCAATAGCGTTTTTTTTTTGTTTTTTGTTTTTTTTTTCATATTTCGGGGCATTACGCGCGGAGGCATCATCATAATGTTGAAAAGATTACTGGGAAGGGGAAGTGCCGATCACTTGCGTTAGACCTAATACAAACCATATACACTCTAAACAAAGTCCGTGCGTCTACTTTCACGCACAACACTCGGAGAGCCAATCAGCCCAACTTTTGGAGCAGCTCAGCGAATGACGATGCCGAAACATATGTTTAGACCAGAAAACGCAGTCTGAGTTGTGACATTAAGCAATGCAAAACGTCACGCTTGCATTGCTTAATGTCACAACTCACTCTGCGTTTTTTGGTCTAAACAGATGTTTCGGTACCGTCATTTGCTGAGCTGCCTCCGAAGGTTGCGCTGATTGATTCTCCGAGCGTTGTGCGTGAAAGTAAACGCACATACTTTTTTAGAGTGTAATAAAAATCAGCAAATCATGGCCCACCTCCACAATGTGGTCATAGGATTGCAACACTCTGAGATTGTCTGGAAACCGTTGACAGCCTTACAATATGCGAGGGGTGATAAAAAACGTTTTGCAACTCGCATATATAGAAAACTACCAGGGCTTTGAAAAAAAGAATATTTTTCAACATCATCCCCCTCCACACTAAGGCACTTCTCCCATTTGCATTAAAAAACTTTTGATAGCGCGCAAAAAAACAAATATTTTCTTTCTGCTCGTTAAGCCGCTGCTCTCTGGCAGTTCGCAGTGCACTCAAGTCATCGAACCTTCTTTTTAGATGTTTTTTTTTCAGATTTGGGAATAAACGAAAGTCACTAGGGGCGAGATCAGGACTGTATGGTGAGTGGTCAAGCTCTTCGAAAACACATTCTCGAATGACAGCCTGAGCAACGCGAGACTTGTGAACTTGGGCGTTGTCATGCAGGAGGAAAACGCCTCTTGTCACCAATCCTCGTCGTTTTTCCACTTTGGCCTCACGCAGTTTGCGGAGAACGTTGGCATAATATTTGCCTGTTTTTGTCCCGCTGTTTTTCAGATAATCAATGATTCTTTTTGGCGTCCCAAAAAACTGTCGCCATCACTGTCTTCCCCGAGCGTTGCGTCTTGAACTTCTTCCGGAGGGAAGGGGGGGGAGGGGACCCCGAATGCCACTACTTCATAGACTGTTGTTTTGTTTCGGGGTCCCACTGGTAAAGCCACGTCTCATGCCCAGTCACAAGGCGGGCGAGAAAATCTTTCGGGTCGCTTTCATAGGTGCTCAAATGCTCCCTTAACGAAGGCAAGCGGTGCTGCCGATCCTGCATAGAGAGGTTCCGTGGCACCCATCGTGCCGAGACCTTCGACATACCGAAAACGTCGTAGATGATTGTGAAAGCACTGCCATACGAAATATCCAATTCTGTAGCAACTTCGGACACCTTAATTCGGCGATTTTTCATGATGAAGCTCTCTGCTCGGGCTGAATTATCTAAATCGGTTGAAGTGCTGGGCCGCCCTGAAATGGGGTCGTCTTGGACGCCCACACGACCGCGTTTATACTCGTTGAACTAAAGAGTTACTGTAGCATATGAAGGGCATTCATCGCAATACACATTCACCATTCTACTGTGAATTTCCTTGGCGGAACTCCCTTCTTTGCACAAAAACTTCATCACGCTCCGGTACTCAAGCTTGAAATTGGGGAAGGGCGCCATGTTTAACTGACTGGTGCAGACCAAAAGCGGAACCGCCAGTCTTGATATTATGAACTTGTTTGTCTAGAGAGATGAGCTAACCAAGGTTATAAAGACATCACTGTCAGACGTTTGGTTAGAGCCGAGTTGCAAAACTTTCCCATCACCCCGTACTCCACAATCATCTGAGAAATATTTTGGAGGCTGATAACTCAATTTGCAGCAGCATACTGCAACGGTGGAAAACTCAGTC